TACTTACCTGAACACTCGACCCATTATCCAACAGCAGCACTAATTAAATTCTGTACCAGACCAGACCCGTTTGACATAAAGACCGCGAGTCGCGACCCGAACCACACTCGCATTAAATCTATTACATCAGGTAAGCAACATTATTTATTTTATCATGTAACACAAGCACTCAAACCAACATTACCCACGGAAAAGTGAGCAAGACACGACAGTTACAATATATTATGATCGTTAAAAAAGAAAAAAAGACATCTAACCGTCATAATCAAATTAGGCTACATTTATTGTCATATTAAATATCTCAATACACATCATTAGATGACATTAAGTCAAGTCAACACTGGTAACCAAACAGTTTCTGTGCCCCCATGACTCCCCTAGCATGAAAAAAAAAACACTATTGGAGTCAACAGGGACCAGAAATTTTCTGGTGGTTACGAATATTCTTCAAAATATTTTATTTTATGTTGAGGAGAACAAAGAAATTCATACAGGTTCAGAACAACTTAAAACTGAGTAAATGATGACAGTATTTACATTTTTGGTTGAAATATCCCTTTAAAATCTCATCATATAATGCCAGGACCTCATAATAGCCAACTAGTGCACATGCTTTATCTTTAACTATTAATGTTCATTTAAGACACAAATGACTGTGTTGACGAGGAGATGGGCATTTTGACACATAACTATGTGTATTCGAACGTTTAAACACAAGGCGCGAAAAATAACTCTTTAGTCAGTTTAGTCAGGTGCTGTATGAGCAAGTGCGCTCGCGCGTATCAGAAACGGTCTTAACTCGTGCATTTGCCAAAATGAATTCTGCTCCACTGCTTAATGTCCCTGAACAGTTAAATTTGTTTTTTAACCACAATGCTTAAAATGCGTTTAAATAAAAATCTTACATCATGACGCGCAAAATTTATTTCTCAACACATAAGCGAATATACTAGGCCTATAGAGTTTGTTCAAACACAAAAAGCAATATACATCTATCAAGTTAGATGTAATAATCAAACTATAATCAAACTAACCTAAAATCTGTGGGGATTATGTGTTTTTATCTGCTCCACGTGTCCGGTCAATTTGCGGTTCCACAACTCTCACTCCATCATCAGCTTTAGTAAACTAAACTAGCTGTGGATTTTAGTGACTAACTCGTGTTTTCCCCTCGCTCCTCATTTTTTTCTCTCACTGTTTTTTTTTTTTTTTTTTTAAAATAGTTGACTTTTT